ATCTAGTGGCTGTTCTATTCTCTGACCCCCAGACAAGTTTATTGGGGTGCACAATATATCAACCACAAAGGAGAGTCTTGGAGGAGAAAGAAAACTGGGAGAGAGTGAAGAAGTGAAGGATGAATAATCAGAACATAGTGTCATATGTATAAAAATGTTACAATAGGCTGGGTGGTGGTGGCGCACGCCTTTAATCCCAGCACTTGGGAGGCAGAGGCAGGCAGATCTTTGTGAGTTCGAGGCCAGCCTGGTCTACAGAGCGAGAAAGGCACAAAGCTACACAGAGAAATTCTGTCTCGAAAAAACAACAACAAAAAAAAAAGTTACAATAAAACCAATTTGTTTTTATACTAGCTGACAATTAACTTAAAAATTAAGTTGTTGTGTTCTTAAAACAATTCTTGTAACAGTAAGAGATGACTTGTGCCTCTGTGACTCCTCCCATCCATGTCAGTGAGTATCAGGGATAAATAAGAGAATTTAATTTCTGCTTGCTTGCCTCCCTGACCATAACTAATTGCTTCCTGTAGGCTCCGTCATGGTTTAGAGAATGATTTCCTAAGCTTGGTGACCATCTTTCACTCATCTTCTCTAATTTCCCAGCTAAAGATGGGTGTATGGCATGACAACTTGCAAGTAGCTTTACTCTCTGTTGGACTATTTTCATTTTTTAAATTTCATCTTATTACTTTACAGAGCAGGTGACTGAGTCCACAGACCTGGGCATTCTGACAAATGCTCTACCATAGGAGACTATACACAGACTTCGGGCTGGTCTTTCAAAAACTCTTTACTTCTTAAACTCTTTCCAATAAAGACTTTGGAAAGATATATGGAAATATATTAAAATTTCTAGATAAAACATTCAAAGATCATTTTTAACCAGAAATAGAATAAAAACTTGTTGTTCCTACTTAAATGGTAACTGTAGTATTTCATTATTTGCTACAAGGATGTTCATACATGTGTGTACATGCATCAATTTGTTCCTTATTTGCCTAGGTTTATTCTGATATTTTCTAATGTTTAGAAGTAGTAGAGAATAATAAAATGTGTGTGATATATTACTAAGCCTAAAGAGACTTTAAAGTATTCATAAAACACCATGCTTTTGGCATATTTGTGTTAGCTCTTAGTTTAGCCTTTGAATGACCTGATTTTGTTGGTTAGCATTGCTGTGGTTCCCAAGGTTGTAACCACAATAATGAAGTACACACACCATACAAGGAGCTAAAGGAATTGAATTTTAGCTGAGGATTTTTTTTAACAACTCAGATATATATATAGTGTAAGAAGAGAGATTTCCAGCCAGGTTTCTTTGTGTGAGCCCCTGCCTTTGCTGCTCATATATGTCCTTGCCAGTTTGGACTTTTGAAGCATTGAAAACTTTCATTGTCTATGAAATAACAGCAAACGAGATCATCAGCTAATGACCAATTACCCATATCAAAGAATAGAATGCAGCTCATTTCTGAAAATCTCCTAAGAAGTGCAAAGCCCTTTTGGAGAAATCAATCTTAAGTGTGCACACCATCCAAGAGGCTGCTGTTCTGTGAGGCATTCATTAGCACTAACAAGGTCTGAAGCACTGAATGGGTTCTTTTTGTCAATGTAGTACACCATTAGGCTTTGCCATGAATTGATTGTAATCACCTTTATCTCAAAGTTCAAGTATGTAATTTGGGCATAAGTGTTTTCATCTGAAACCATGCATTTTTCAGACGGTGTAAATCCTGGAATAGAGACACCTGTGTTCTAGGACCTGCCAGCCTAAGCCACACCCGACCCATGAACAAAACTCATGGAATGTATTAAATCTCCTGTCCCCTTAGCACTTCCTAGGGTGAGAAGGGGAGCAGAAGGAAATAGAAATAAACAGACAAGCTCTATCAGATAGGCAAAAATAAACTTGGGATCTCTCCCAGACTGTGACAAATTTTGAAGAATTTCAAGCCACTACTTCTAACATTTACTGTGGTGAGTGACCTGCATAATTTTCTGTTTCGTTTACTTATATGTAATTTTTAAATGCTGTTCTACAATAGCAAAGAACTGAGATCTGTCATAACCTGCATAATCTTGAGAGAGAATCCTGAGCTAAAATGGGGAACAGCTTACTTTCAACTCTGTGGGACTCTGCACAAAGCACCGGCCTAACGCCTGTCTGGATTTCTAATAATTTGTGATAATATACTGTGCGCTGGTCCTTTCTTAAGGGAATAGTTATATACTTCAGGGTAAAGCAGTGACGAGCTTCAAACATACACAACACCTGTATTTAAAATTGTTTTACACATGGGAAGCCAATGATTTGAGGGCTGATAGTTAGGGTAGACACTTTACTAAAAGTTTGAATGCATTCTTTTATAAACCAAAGAACTGTAAAATAAGGAAGTTCTCCTTGGCCGTATAACAATTAGCTGAGACCACTAATGAGAGGCCCAGCCCAGGGACGAATGAGTGAGCCTCATGCTGTCCAATGAACATAAGGTTACATGCAATCTGGCAGAACCCTGTGTGGTGAGCCTTGGAGATGAGAGTGTCATTCTGGCAGTGCATACTGGCAAATGATTTACCAATCTGTGCAGGTGTCAGTGGAAGACAAAGGAGTCAAAACAGATCTTGGAAGCCAAGCTCTCAGCTTGGTAAAGTAAGGAAGGGGTAACACTTTGTGTTCCCTAATACTGGATTGCTTACCATCTTTCCTGTTCTTTTCAGTTAAGTGAATGTATATGTTTCTTTTGATGAGAAACAAGTTATCACAAGCCTAGAAAATAGAAACAATGTATTTACCCTCTCCTGGTTTCTGTGCATTGGGTGTTTCTGTTAGAGTTGACTATGTGCTCTTCCCAGGGCTCTCCAGGATGGGAACAAATAGCAGCTCCTGGTAGACGGTGATATAATTGATTTCCTCAGACAGGATCTTAGTCCCCATTTTCTCTCTTGCTGGTGACTGCTCTGAGAAGCCCACATCTAAGCCCAAGAGCTCATATTCCAAGTTTAGTGCCTCTCATTCTTTCACTCTGCTTCCTCAAACACTTACTTGAATCTGTCAGTCTTCTCCTTTGTCAAATTAATCACCCTTCATTGTATTGCCCCTTATTCAGGTTTTACCTAGGCCAAATGGAAGGGACTTGAAAGGATGTGGACACGAAGGATGAAAATTTAAAATATTTATTGGAATTCTGTCCACCAGGGTGCAAGTGCTACAAACAAAAGCATGCATTATTCACATTTTCGTAGACTAAGATGCAAATGGCACTGAAATATAAAACTGGGGTGTCTATGACTTCAGTTTACCAGTATCAGCGTGCAAGCTGGCCACGTGAGGCTCACACAAATAATAATGGGCAAAACATTTTAATGTGTGGTTGTAGACTCCAAAGGTCCTAAGAGATGAAAGTCAGTTTATAAGAAAAAAGTGGGTGTCATGCTAAAGGGAAGGTGTGCATGCATCACCAAAAATTAACATTTGCTTAAGAATAAATAAAGCTGAGTTTAGATGGCATGGACATGATTTGGGAAAAAAATCAATTTCCAAGTGTTAGCATAAAGCAGAAATAGAGAACCAAATGGTAGTCCAATTCACTATAGTACACACACTGTAAGTGTGTGAATTCAGTGACAGATTCGATGCTTAAAATAGCCTTGTCTTATTGTATTTTGTTTTATCCTGATTGGCTGTCAACTCTTGGAGGCTTGCTCTTTTCTGAAGGGAAATGGAGGGGGAGTGGATCTGCAGGAGGCGGGGGAGGTGGGAGGAGGGAGGGAGGGGAAACTGCGGTTGGGATTTATTTTATGAGAGAAGAATCTACTTTCAGTAAAAAAAAATAAATAAATAACAATCTCTCCGGTGTCCAACTCTACAAATGAATCCTGTTTGATCATGACAAGTGTCATTTTCAAGTATTCAGATGCAGGGCATGGAGGACTTAAGAAGCTCCTACAGCTTTGCACTCCTTATGGTGACAAAACAGATCTGTGTCTACAGAAAACAAATAATGAAAGCGAGGCCTGTAAATACCTGAAATAAGAATGTGCTTTGGAGAGGGCCTGCTGGGGACTGAATCCAAGGCCTTGTACATGTGAATTGCCTGATAAACACTTAACTGCATCCATCCTCTAACATGTGCAAGGCCACACAAGACCAGTAACAGCATCCTTTCACCTAAACTCATTGAGTTTTTGAAACATTCTCCTCTTCATTGTGGTACCCCTCCCTAACACAGAGACTACATATTTTGCTGGCAAATGGGAACTAGTGATTGGTAAGTAGCAATCTTTATCCATAAGAGTCCCAGTGGGTGATTGACACCACAGATATCACTGAACATTAAACACACACAACTCTGTTAAAAGTATTACATATTATAAATTAGATAAAGAAAACATAATCATGAGTAATAATGACATAGAAATGGAACAGTAATGCAATTGCCAATATCTCCCCTTTTCCTTGGGCCCATTACTAAGTAAAATAAAGGTATGTTGCTCCACTGAAAGAAGTATAACACCATGACCATCGAAATGATAACCAAGACAGTTTCTAATGACTAACAGGTAGCACATAGAGAGTAGAGAAATAACTTCAGTTCACATTTGACCTCACATTACTAAAACCATAGAAAGCAATTTACAGATAGGGGAGACTACTCTACTCTTTAGAAGTCCTGAAGTTAGAGAGTAACCTAATTTCTGTGTCTGCCAGCACTAAAGGGAAGGGTACTCAAAAAGTTTTCTGAAATCATTACCCTTGTATCTCCAGGATTTCAGACTATGGACTCCCAGGATTCTGTTTCATGTTCTTTTAAGGCATCTAGCTTGTAGTTCTTTTTCATAGCAGCCTTAGTACACTCACACAGTATAGAACAATTTATTTGTCCCCACAATCTTCTTCTCTGTCCACTCATACATTATTCTTCTGTGCACATGGTCACAGGACACATTGTGTCTCCTCAAATATAAAGAATAAATATAAAGAATATAAAGAATAATATAAAGATGCATTTTGACGAAGATGTAAGGAGCCAGCAATGACTCTAGACAAACATAACCAAAACAGAAAGTTGGACTTCACACTACCATGTCCAGACCAAAACACCTGATCACTGGGGAAGAGAGATGGAAAAAGGCTTTGTGGAGATCTATATAAATGAGACACAGCAATCAGTGTCAAAAAGGACCTGGACCGTGATCCCCTGCAGCTATGTGTTCTAGTAGTTCTGGCAGCATGCTCCCCTGTCTGAGAACTAATGTTTCAATATACCAGCTCATCACCTGCTGACTGTATAAAAACACAGGTGTTTTCTGCGCTTTAATCATATGGGCCCTCGTGGCCACACCCCCTCCATGTACATGATTCAGAACACTCAATTCCCACAATTATTGATTACAGAAATTTACTAGGGGTTACAGTGGCAAAAAAGAGATACTGGTTGGTGAAGAAAAGCTGAAATGCTGAGCATTCCATAGGCTGGGCAGCGATATAAGTTGCCCTAGGTCCTCACAAGGACTGTTAAACCCGTGAACCAAGTATTTGTATTAACACCAATTTCTTGGAACCTTAATCCCTCAAATTAAAGTTTAGAATATGGGCCTCTAGGAGTGACTAGGCTCTTATAAAATAGGCCTAGAATATTGTTTACCTGTGTGATAACTAACATGGTAAGAAGACAGGAAGTGGCCCTAGCTACTTGCTTAAACAGCTTCTCATGGGATTGCCTTTCATTCTCAAGCTACTCAGTGGGTTGGCTTGACACACAACTACAATATTGATCTGTGAAAACCTGCAGGGCTGGTCCAGGAGGAGCCCACTAAGGGACATGAACATGAAGCATTCAAAAGAGTGTGAGCAACAGAAAGAAGCATCCTGGATGTGGGAGCTCACAAAAATTCCATTTTGTGGTTTGTTTCTATTTTGACTCAAGTTCAGAGAGTTGGAATTTATATTGCTCTCCAAGGTTGCATAATAGAATGTTTAGGTCAAAGACATGGTTACCAGGTATCTTATGCTTCAAGGCCTAATTACAAGATGCTGTGCTGTAAGGCATGGTTACCAGGTGTTTAGAGAATTAAGAAAGGGTCTACCCTAGTTTGTACTTTGACCTTGAAAGGGGGAGGTCTCTTGCATCTCCCCTTGCTTGTGTATAAAAATCTCATTAGGATTAAGCTTGAGGTGACTGAGTATTGACCCAAGGTCCTCCCAAAGCTATCCTGTGTCCCTATCTTTTTCTTTGTCTACCTCGATATTTTTTTCCTATCTAGCATTTCTCAATTCCTCATTTCCCCCTTCAAGAACTGTTTGATGGGTCAAGGCTGGACCCAACATCTGGAGAAAGGAATAAGGAGTCCTGGAGTAGAATGTGAACCCCAGGGCATCACTGCTCTGTTCTCCCTGTCTCATGGAAGCTGGATCATCAATACAGACCAAGGTAGTTGTGGTGGCATGGTCAGTGACTGTCATGCACAGGAGTCATTTATTTATAGGCACCATTCTCTCACGGTAGAAACCTGCCAGTTATCAGGAAGGTGGGGAGTCCAGAAGGTAAGAGCAAGTGATGCCAGAGCAGAGCAGGGCAGAGAGAGCACTTGGAAGACAAGGGTGGTCTTCTGAAAAGGGAGAAGAACCTCTTTAGGCCTTCAGCTAAGACACACACCAAGCAAGCAGGCATACATAATGCCCACCTGCTCTTAGATAGCTCACACCAGACTTGAAGACTAGGAGGAGGTAAGCAACAACTCACACCCCTTCTCCAGCCACTGAAACATTTTCTGTAAGTTTACTGTTTTTGTTAAATTTCTTTCTTTCTTTTTTAACCTGAAGCAATTTCTCCAATATTGATCATGGTGGTGCATACCTTTAATCTCAGCACTCAGAATGCAGAGACAGGCAGATCTCTGTGACTTTAAGGCCAGCCTGGTCCACATAGCGAGTTCTAGTCTAGCCAGAGCTACATAGTGAGACCCTATCTCAAAACAAAACCAGGTTGTACCAAATGTTTCTTCAAAGAAATCCTTGATGTTGTACTTCTTTCTAACTCATCAGTACTTTTACTTCACCCAGAATTCACAAGAACTCAATGAGATGAATGGAGATGAGGATGAAGAAACGTGGAAGAAATAAGTGAGAGGACATAACATCACAAAGTCAAGACTTCTTAAGAGGAAAGTGCAAACCCAAGCATCACTCACAACACTGAATGAACAAAATGAGATGCTGATGTGCTATGATGAGAACAGACTAAGAGCAAAGATGCATTCTGAACCATGGGCTCTGTCTGTGTTGAGACAGCAAAATGTCTTTGAAAAGCAAACATGTTGCTTTCCTCAATTCCTCTTTATTTCCTAAAATGTGAACAAAAAGACAAAGAGGAGGGCTCTATTTGGGGGGTTAGATGGGGAGGACTTTACTTAGAAAATTTGAGTATATTAATTTTTTGTGTTCACAGAAGGCATTTGGAAGAAAATAAAGAAAACTACTAAGTAAAACTTTGAGCCTTCTTACAATGTTTTATGCCAAGTAAGTACGTAATAAATAAGCTTATTAATAATTATTTAGAGTGAATCAGTTTGTACATTAGAAATGTCCTCCTGATAATTGGAAAATGATCCATAAATCTTTAGGTTTTCAATTTTTCTTGTAGAACTTGTTATTCGCTTTTATACCACCTACCTAAGCTGAATTCCAAAGAACAGAAGCCTAATTTAATTGTGTTCATTGAATTCCAGTAAGTAGATTTCACTGATTTTTTTGGCTCCTATTTTTCAAAGGTTGCTATACAGGACAGAGAGAGTCCCTCAACACTAATTAACCCAGCAATTAATTAGGGCCACTTTGTGAATCTTTGTGTTGAGTTTGTGATATAGATTTAACTTTCTCACTAAAGCTCTCCTAATCTTTTGCTCAGAACCTTTCTAAATACCTGAAGTTGGTCCCCTTCTGTCTGCAAATTCCAACCATGACCTAAGGTCAAGTGACCTGTGCATCATCCAAGGCAACACAACACGTCTGGTTATAGAAACTGCCTCTCAATTTCTGTTTCTTCCAGAATCTTAAAGCTTTGGGACTTTGGAATGGCCAAAGAGTTCTGAATTTCAGTCTTTTTTATTTTAATAAGCACAAAAAGTATCAGGATGGCATTTTTAAACAAAGTGTAGTTTAGTTGGCTCTCCTCTGGTCTCATGTTACCCTTCTTCCTCAGCTTTCTTTTAGTCCCTTTCTATCTTGCCTAGTCTCCTTAGAAAAAAGACTCTATTTTAAAATAATAATAATAAATAAATTAATTCAGGGAATTGAGATGAACCAATGGAGATAGGTGAGAGAAAATAAAGTGGGGTTTATAGGAATTTTTCTGAATGATTTAAAGAGAGTTTTATTGACATTGGCCCCCAAGGCTCTATTAGTGCATTCAGTCTTTAATACATTTCTCATTGGATGAGTATTCCTCAAGTACCTGGCAGACACACTGTGCTACAGGACAAATTCAAAGGCCCCTGCAGAGCTTTCTCTCTCCTCAGCCTCAGTATATCTTGTCTTCCTTCCCATTAATCCTGTATATGGTTGATATATGTTCAAGGAAATCTGGTTATATACAAAAAAGGTGCTTTGTAAATGGCCTGTAAAGGGTTATATGTATTGTAACCAAATACTTTTGGGAGTATTCCTTCAACTCATATGACCATTTTTCAGGGGCATTTCCCTTACTTAAAACTGCCTCAGTTTCTATTCTAATCATTTGTCCTGGTAGAGTTGTTTGGCATGGGACACAAAGAACAGGATGTTCAAATTGAGTGCCCCAGGGTAAGGATCTATGATCATTACAACGATTGTTCTGTTCTCTTCTGGAAGGTGCTGGTTTCCACATATGTTTGTGTCTCTTGACCACCATCCAGAAATGAGGCAACATTTTCCTTTGCTAGTCTGCCATCAGAGTGCACATTAGACACTGTATTAATAGCACTCTGAAACAATTAACTAAAAGCAAATACTCCCCAAGGGTGCAATGAACATGTAGCCTTTCATGTCACCGAGACCAGACATGACATATTCATTTATAGAGACACCCTGGTTTAAAGAATTTCTTTAATTCTACCAGACAAACAAATCTCAAGAGGAAAAGTATGTTTAAGTTTTTGCTTAAGCTTAGGAAAATATCCCAAGTCAAAATTTTTATTCAGGTACAATAATATGTTTTAAAGCATGTTCTTTATGTGACAAAGTAGGCCTATGGGAGACATGTACTTAATCATGATCCTGGGGCCTCTTACATGTGAAAGTTGGTTTCTAGCTGAGTCAGAAGCCAGAACTCTATGCAGATGTGCACAGGAGCTATGCTGAGCACAAACCTCCAGGTACCATACTTCGGGTATTTAGTTTGCAATCAAAGGTTTATGGGAGTATGAGACCCAGGACCACTTCAAGGCCATAATATTGCTTTCTTTCCTCATAAGGTTCCCACGTCAGAATAAACTAATTTTTGTGTTGTTATAAAACTTTAACACAGGGCCCAATTATGAAGTTCTGAGAGTACATTAATTTGAGCCAACCCAAAACACAATGATTTCTTTTTGAATGGTTACCTCTGAAGGAGCACATTCAAAAAAGCCTCTTAGAGATCTTTCATCAAATTTCATCTTAAAATACTTTCTACGTGCTGTTACAAATAGCACATTATCATAGATAAATCCATTAAAGCCCTGAAATTTCTCGAGTTTCTTTTCTTCTTGAGTTCTTCAAACAATACTTTTTTCCCACTATACATTAACCATTAGAATTTAATTTATATCAAATACATTATACAAGAAGAATTATCTAGACTTTTCAGGAAGCAGAATAACTTTCTAAAACTGAGGAAACTATATTTCTTACAAAATTCATTTGATCTTCATACAATGCATACTGTAAGGTTGAACTGTCTCCAGAGGACAGAAGATAATCTTGTAGAGAAAAAGGGACATCAAAGAAGAAGGAGGAGGAGGAGGAGGAGAAGGAGGAGAAGCAATTATTAGATACCATGTCTCCAGTGGAACTGGGGTAATAGAATTATAAACTACTAGGTTCTATACCCAGAAGACCAAGTGGAAACAACTAACTAGGGACATGAATAAGCTGATGTGTTTTGTGCTTGGTAGGGTGTGAGATCCACACCTCTGAGCAACAATATCAGCAATGATCAGGAGAAGCTGGGCTGTCAAAGTTACAGAGAGTCAAAGGTATCCAGGTGGGAATGAGGCAGTGTCAAATCAAAGATGCTAGGTGTACGTGCTTCTCTTGTTCAGGGAAGTTGGTGCAAATCATTGCTGGCTACAGGTGGGAGTTAGCGAAAGGGGAGGGAGGGCACATATGGGAGAGGAAGCTCAAAAGGTGGAAAAATCTCATAGGGAACACTGAGAAAGCAAGTGGGGACCTGAGCCGCTGACAGCATAAGTAGGAGCCCCTTCTTGCAGACTGGAGAATGTCCAGAAGGAAGGACAAGGAACAAGTGGGTGAAATATAAGGAAAGCTGTAATTAGTGGAGGGTGAGGGACAGGTGAGCAGTCTGGAAAATGGTTGCCTTCAGCAAGAAATGCTGACAAAACAGCATCCACTTTGCAAGAGCACAGATCATCTCAGTCCGCACTGAGCTCCATGACACTGGGCGGGATGTGGGAGCTTCGGGGGCAAAGCTGATGGCCCAGCTCTCCCTTGGGAGGATGTGAACAAAACTGGAAATATTAGAAGACTGATTCTGACTATCTGCTGGTCACTAAGACTGTAACCATTAGTACATTTGGGACACAGAGAGATACCCTCAGTGGAAGTCTTTTGGTTTCCCCATAATTTCAGGGTGGATGGCAAAGGAACATTTCAGTCAGACACTGAGACAAGTGACCATAGATTTAAAAGACCTTGTCTCCTTCAAGCCATTATCCACAAACTGTTTTTTCATTGTGTTAAATGCATATTTTCATTACATAAAATAAAAATATTGAACTATAATGTTTCAGGAATACTTTAACACATTCCATACAATATAACAACCACTATTAATCCCTTCAGGTCTTTGACATCAAAATGCAACGATATAGATTACTTAAGAAGAAAATTCTCCTGTCTACCTAGTGTGTCTGATAGCAATTTTGGATGAAAAAGGAAAACACAGATAATAAGGTAGCTGCAGCAATCCCTGGTAGACAATTAAGGACTAAAACCAACCACAAGTTTAAGCAAGTCCAGAATGAAAAATGACCCTATTACTTTTACATCCATGCTGTGCACCTGATGAACCAATTTTAATTAAAAACAGACACGGTCATATTTTCAAAGACTGTAATAGAATCTAAGTAACTGCGAAGTTAACGAAGACTACAGAAATGAATTGAGAAAATGGACAATCTGTTGTCCAGCAGAATCTTGTCCGTTTTACGCTCCATTGAGCTTTTCTGAATGAAGAAAAACATACAGAGGTGATGTATACGTAGACACATTATAGAAGTCTGATAATTGTCTTATAATCTCAAATGATTCACAAAAGGAAAAATAACTCCATGCAATTTAAATGTTCCTGACCATACGCTTAATTCTCTTTAACATAAGCAGAAACCAATAAGGTTTTCCTGTGTGTACCATGAGGCAAAGGCCTTTCTGCTGGACTGCATCTCTTCTGCATAGTCTGTACCACTATCTGTCCAGATGCCTTTCCACTAGGTAGAACCACACTCACTCCCTCTTCTGTCCCTCCTACTGCCCTCCCCACTGGCCCTTGCATACTTTTGGTCAATCTTGCCTAGTGTTTGCATACTTTCTTGTGCTCTCACCTAAGCTGATGTATACTTCTAAAGGTACCCAAGCTCCAGTGCCCCACAGTGATGTGCAGGTTTCCCTGCATGGACCCTGGAAGGAAGGATTGACAGTGGCCCAGATGACCCCTTGCCAACTTTCAAGTCTCCAAATCCAAAATAAAAAGTCAATTCTTTGCCTTGCTTATTGGCTCTGCTCACTTGGAAGAGCTGGTGGAACCCTTATCTCCTTGCACTCTAGATTTCATGTAGCAAGTGTTTTCTGGCTTTCTGTCTGCCTCTTTTCACTGAGCTGTCCTCAAGGGCTCTGACCTGAGCTCCCTTCAGCATCAAATTCACCTAAATGTTCAATATGCTGCCAGGCTTTCAGTGCATTTGCAGGACCGTCAAACAGAACCTTCCCAAAGCTGACTTCCACTCCTCAGCTCACACCCACACTCTCTGCTATCCAGCCCCTTCCTTGCTTAAGCTTCCTAACACATTCACCAAGGAACCACTGTGTACCTGGAATCAGCACATAGTTATTCTCACCTGTGCAATGCTGTGAGGGATTGCGCCAAACTCCCCAGATTTTCCTTCCTGGTGAGTCCTAAAGTTTTGACTCTAGATCCTGTTATCTCATTCTTACATTCAGACAAAATATTTCTAACATATTTAATCACCTCAAGACCCACGTCTTCCAGCCACAAGGATAACAGGAAAAGGCAAAACTGGGCCCATCATTTCCATGATCAAAAGGACCCTGTGTACACTAGGAAGCTCATACAGCATGCACACTGAATATATAATGCGTGTGTCACTGTGTATACAAAATATTTCAGACATCTGTGTTTCATGATTCATGCATAATGTGCATTTGTACATAAACTTTGATATTTATGGTCCAAAAGAGCTCATTACATGTATTCAAATTATAAAATATCTCCTTATATATGTAAACTATAGTAAAGTTTTTTTTGAGTATGAAAAAGTTTTAAAAATTAAAAGAGCAGTCACTACCTGAATATTTTAATGTGGTTGAGAATACTGGGTGGGAAACCCTGGGAGAATGGAAAAGACAGAGTTAGCAGCACAGGTTCCTTTGGTGTGTGCAACTTCATATCGTGCACCCAGTGGCATCACTGTGGTGATATTTTATTTGTGCACTCCAATAAAGCTTATCTGAAGATTGAGAAAAAAGCCAGCCACTATATTAAACATAGAAGTCAGACAATGGTAGCACATGAATCTCTGTGAGTTCAAGGCCACACCGGGAACAGAGCCAGGCTTGGTGGTACACACCTTTATTCACAACACTAGCTAACCATAAAGGTCTGGAGGTCTGTACAGACAGACAGGAAGTGACTGGGCAGAAAGACAAAGTGATGTAGCTGGGCAGAGAGAGGAAGTGAGATGACAGGGAAGAAAGGCATATAACCTAATACAAAAAGTAGCCATCTCTTTGGCTGAGGATTCCTAGGGTAAGAAATGGCTAGCTTCTTTCTGCAGCCCTAATCTCTCAGTTTTTACCCCAATATCTGGCTCTGTTTTTTTTATTAATAAGACCGCTTAGCAATTCATCTTACACATCACTTTCCTTTCCTTTGGATGATAGTGCTACAGAATTGTGTGGAAGCATCTCAGCCACCAGAAAACAAGGAACCATTTCAATTTAACATAATTTCCTTCAGAAATAACACAGTTCCAGCACTCCCCTAGCACCTGAATTCCCTTTCAAGGAGAGTCAGACCTTCTCTTTCCTTCCTTACCCACTTCTTCCTCTACAATGAAGTCCCATTTTGCTCATATAGAAGCAGATATCGCTCTACCCCCAGGACAACCCCACCCAGGCCCAGGGAAAGAGCCCCTTTAATGTACCCTGTTCCCTTCAACCCAAGGAAGTGCATTTAAGAGTCATGCCTGTGAGCTGGGCATATGTGCCCGTCTACTAACACAAGTTAAGGAACATGCATCTTCTTCATAGTAAAATAATATGACCTCACAAGGATAAACACAGTTACCCTATGCCTGGCCTTCCTTGTTTTGTCCATGAATGCAGCCTTGATGATAGTATTGAAGTTATTTTTACAGGCTTCCTTCCTCTCCAGTGAAACTTTTGTCGCTGAGGGAACACTAAATGCATAAACCCCCAAGGTAGGGAGGGTGAACACAGGGAAATCCTTCTAGGGTGGGTCAGAACTAATCTTGGGCATGCTTGTGGGGCAGTCCAGGAACACAACTATGAGGTGAGGCATCTTGCTGAGAGAATAAGTAGAGAAGATGGCAAGCAGTGAAGGGATACACTTTCTGAAACCTCTGCTTCCTAATCATGCTAGTTTAATTCATGACTGAGTATGTGGGTCCCAGTTTGTACTTTACCTAGTGATCTGTAAATGTGAAAGGGCAATGGATATTCTCTGAAATTGTTAGCATGTGTCTCTATGTGCACACACACACACACACACACACACACACACACACACACACACACACACATATATATATATATACATGTATATATATGCATATACATATATGTGGACTACAGAAATGAATGAATCAACAGCCAGAACTAAATATCAAACACAGCTATATAGTTCATACAACATACTGAATATGAGATTCTGGGTTTTTGAATGCCTGTGTGTGTGTGTGTGTGTGTGTGTGTGTGTGTATGTGTGTGTGTGTTCATCCATAAACGTACTTGTGTGAATGCATAATTGTGTTTCTGCATGTGAATATATGCAGTCTATGTTAATGTGGTGATGCACATGTGTGTGTATGTGTGTGTGTGTATTTGTTTGTGTATGTACATTGGTATACACATGTGTATCTAGTAGATGAATACCTACAGATATTTTTCTTCCATCATCCACAATCTAATGGGTAGAGGAACATGCCAGGTAGTAACAAGGGCAACGTAATTAAAAGATCCAAACTATCACCTGGGAGTAAGAAGCAGTGAGGAATGGGAGAACCTTTTTTGAGATGGAGGGCTTGAGGTGAGCAGTGCAAAGGGCCTGGGCACATGAAAGAAAAGTATAATTACAAGAAGAGAGGGGCTGCCAGGTCTTGGAGCTGAAGCAGTTCTCCTAATATCATGGAGCAGCGGGATGGGGGGAAGACCAGACCATAGTGCTATCCCTTCTGCATACAATAGATATATGTCCCTACATCACAAGAGCAACAGGAGATTCTAGAAGATTGTGAGTACAGCCTCATCGTGCCTCTAAACACTCATACCAGGCTTCACCTTTAGACATCTTGAAATGATGCTGTCATAATAATTCTTAGGGAGAAAAAAAGAGAGAAACAAAGAGCAAACTTAAATTATTCAAAACTGAAAATCAGATGGTCAGACTGTTGAAAGCATAAACTGAAGTAAAGTGCACTTCAGTATAATGAAAGGTAGCTAAAGAAAGTCCTTTCAGGTCTTGAAAATGTGTGACCAGGGTGTATCCTGCCCACGGTTATGCCCATGAGTAAGTGTAGCTAGGCAATGACACCTTGAAATACTGATCACCACCATGGCCTGCCCTGGAAAAATGACATAAATAAAGAGAAATCTCAAGAAGAGGGTGGACGTATGGTATTAGATGGACAAACATCACCTACCACATCACAGCAACTCTAAGGTTTTGGGTGAATGACGTGATATTAATTCTAACTTGAAGTCTGGGTTTGACACTCTAATTCTGGTCCAGGTGTTCTTTGTTGACACTGGAGCCCTTCCTTATTCTTTCCCTATCACAGCATTCATAGTAGAAGGGGCTTTTCCGTCTCCCACTTACCTCCTGGCTCCAGGCTTCCTGGATGTAGTGAAGAAAATAGGTAAACAACCACAGGCAGGCTTAGTAACCTTTACTGTGGAGTCTCTCTTTCCTGGGGTCTCAATCCTGTGGTAGCAAAGGGCAGAAGCCACCCTCCCCAGGACCTCAGTCTTTCTTCCTAGAGTCTGCCCTTTCCTCCATCATGGACCAACTGCTCTTCTTAAGTAAATTACTCAGTCCCAGGGACTTATCTCTATGCAGTGCACCTATGGAGGGTCAGAGGTAATGCAGTCTGTTGCTATTTACATGGGGCTCTAATTTGCACAGCTTGTAAAACCATTTGTTTCTGAAGTGACTAATGTTTGCATAATCCTAACATGCTGTTCTGTCTACATCATTGACATATAGACAAAGAGGAGAAGACATAGTTATGATTAGAGAATGGAATATAAATCTTTTAAATCTTAACAAACATAAAAACAATGTACGAAGCAGGCTGGAGAAATGGAACAGCAGTTAAGACTGCTTGCTGCTCCTTCACAGGGGCAGACTTTGGATCCCAGTACCCACTTAAAACCACCTGTAACTATAACTCCAAGGGATCTGATGCCCTTTTTGGCTTCCATATATACACAGAGATACATAAATAAAATAAATATTTTTGAAATAGTGTATTGAACAAGAACAGAAAGATAAGAGGTAGTGATGTCTTCAGAGTTCATACTATTAACTCAAAATACATGGCTGATATTGGTAAATAGAAAAATGATATGAAATACATTGTATAAATTATTTTTCTGAAGAAATAGTATGTGTGCATATATTTTTGCTTATATGTTTAGGCCTTCTCTTAATTATTGTTTTAATCATATAAACAGGTATCATTAAGATTTAGCATTTGAAATAAATAGGGTATCTCAAGTAAAAGTCAATTTTAAGATGGCTTAAATATCACAATTGATGAAGCCAAAGAGGAAAGAAGACACACTGAGTTTCTGAACCTTGCTTGATGCTAGTCGGGAGTTGACAGGGATGGGAGACCTGGGGTTTAACAGTCTGGTTATCTTTTATGGGGACCATGGGAGGATGGAGGTAACTCAGCTCCTCTGCATGAGGAGAAAACAAAACAAAACAAAAAAAAAACCTGTTACTTTGGCAAGGGAATGAACACAGGAGGTGAGCAAATAGTGGGAGTGGGACTGGCCACTCCTTTTCTGGACCTTATGAGGACAAGGTAGTTGGCTTGATCGGAATGTCGATTGTGTAGACTCCAAAGCGTGTTAGGATTATGTAAACATAAACTTACTGTAGAAACAAATGGTTTTACAAGCTGTGCAATTAGAACCATGTGTGTTGTTAGAGTTTTCCTGCCTGGCCCACAGTCAGGACAAATCTCTCTCATCCGCCAGTCCCACAGCCGCTCAAACCCGATCAAGTAAACACAGAGACTTATATTGGTTACAAACTGTATGGCCGTGGCAGGCTTCTTGCTAACTGTTCTTACAGCTTAAATTAATCCATTTCCATTAATCTATACCTTGCCACATGGCTCATGGCTTACCGGCATCTTTATATGCTGTTTGTCATCATGGCGACTGGCAGTGTCTCTCTCCTCAGCCTTCCACTTCCCAGCTCTATTCTCCTCCTTGTCCCGCCTATACTTCCTGCCTGGCCACAGGCCAATCAGTGATTTATTTATTGACCAATCAGCAACACATTTGACATACAGACCATCCCACAGCACATGTGTAAATAGCAAGTAACTGCGTTATCACTATCCCTCCATAGGTGCACTGTACGGAGACAAGTCCTGAGATTGAGCATTTTATTTAAGAAGAGCAGGTGGTCCATCATGGAAGAAATGGCAGACTCTAGGAAGAAAGCCGATCTTTTAGTACAACAATTGATTGTGTTAATATGCTTCTGTCTTTCTGTGTGTGTGCATGTGTGTGCGTGTGTGTGTGTGTGTGTGT